TTAGCTAAAGGATTCATCCGACCCTCGACCTCTCCCGCTTCAGCCGGGTTCTTCTTTGTAAAGAAAAAGGATGGAGGTTTGCGGCCGTGCACTGATTACCGTGGCCTCAACGATATCACCATTAAGTTCCGTTATCCATTGTCCCTAGTCCCAGCCACGCTAGAACAGCTTCGCCGGGCCAAGTATTACACCAAGCTAGATCCACGCAATGCCTACAACCTGATTCATATCCGAGAGGGAGATGAATGGAAAACGGCATTCTCGACCACTAGTGGGCATTATGAATACTTGGTTATGCCCTTCGGCCTTGCCAACAGTCCGTCAGTCTTTCAGTCGTTCATGAATGACATCTTCCGTGACATGCTCGACAGATGAGTAATCGTATACATTGACGATATACTGATTAATTCAAACACTCTGGAGGAACCCATTCGTCACGTTAGATCAGTGCTGAAACGCCTCATGCAATACCAACTCTACGCCAAAGCTGAAAAGTGTGAATTCCATCAAACCAGCAACTCGTTTCTCGGTTACGTGATCAGCCAGGAGGGGGTAGCAATGGACGAAAGGAAGGTCAGAGCAGTCCTGGAATGGCCACAACCCCAGACAGTCAAAGAATTACAACGCTTCCTAGGGTTTGCAAATTTCTACAGGCGATTTATCAGCGACTTCAGTGCAGTCGCCGCCCCTCTGACAACCATGACTAAACGTCACGCTGCTAGATTGAGTTGGTCACCAGAGTCACGTCACGCATTCAATGAACTAAAGACTCGGTTCACTTCCGCACCCATCCTTCGACACCCCGACCCAGAACGCGAGTTCATTGTGGAGGTCAACGCTTCTAACATGGCGGTAGGGGCAATACTGTCTCAACGTCATGGTTTACTAGCGAAGATGTATCCGTGTGCCTTTTTCTCCCGCAAACTCACAGCCGCGGAACGGAATTACAAAGTGGGCAACCGTGAACTTCTTGCTATAAAGTTAACGCTTGTGGAATGGCGTCATTGGCTGGAGGGAGCTGCTCATCCATTCATCGTTCTCACAGATCATAAAAATCTTGAGTATCTGCGCTCAGCTAAGCGTCTAAACCCCCGACCGGCCAGGTGGGATATTTTTTCACAAGGTTTCGGTTCACGGTGACATACCGGCCAGGCACCAAGAATACCAAGGCTGACGCTCTCTCTCGCCAAACTGATGAAACAATCCAATCCATCTCCAACGACAATATAATTCCCAACAAGCTGCTCTTGGCACCAGTACAATGGGATATCATGACTGAGATTGAACATCTGAATCTTCAAAATCCGCCACCTCCTGAATGCCCTGCAAACCTCACCTATGTCCCTGAATCCCTTCGACCACGACTTCTAACCCAAGTACACGTAACGCGCAGTTCGGGTCATCCTGGAATCACTGCCACAGAAAATCTGCTCAGGAACCGATTTTGGTGGCCCACGTTGCTGACTGACACAACCAAATTTATATTTTTTGGGTGAACTAACCCTTTAAAAACCTTTCTAGAAGAAAAAGATAGATGTTGCTAGTTGGCAGGCAAAGTTGTCGGACAGTTGGGAGATTTCAACAAATTCAGGCCTATGTCTACATTTCTTATTTCTAATGTTTTTGAGAGCATCCACTGAACGCAAACAGCTTATGTTGACATTAGCACACCGAACAACATATGCTGTTTGCGTTCAGTGGATACTCTCCAAAATGGCGCTACAGGGTGACGCGGAGGAGACGAATTGTTGAATAAAGTCGTTTTTTTCTTTTCTTTTGCGCACACAAAAAGTATTCTCGTAGCTTCGTAATATTACGGCTGAACCCCTGATGTCACATAGATTATTTTACAGATTTCCTTGCTACGTTTCTGGGCGTTGATCGTGGTAGTAAACCCTTGCTGTCTATGGGAGGGTTCAGAGAGCTGTCAGATTCCATCAAAAATATCTTAATTTGTGTTCCAAAGATGAACGGAGTTCTTATGAGTTTGGAACGACTTAAGGGTGAGTAATTAATGACAGAATTTTCATTTTTGGGTGAACTATCCCTTTAACCAGGCAGGGTTAACCTTACAGTAGTGCTCAATACTGATTATTGTCAGACTTTCGAAATCTTTCATCACTTGAATTAAGATTATATTTTAATTTTAAAGGAGACATTGGATGCAAAATATCCTCATTTGCATATAAATGCGTCTTAGCAGTGTGTGGACACAACCACCCTACAATGATAAAAATTCACTCATTTTTTTAATCCCCCAAAAACCTAAACAGTCTCAATTATCAAGCCATTTTGATTTTGGAGTGAATAACCAGCGCTCTCTTCCACCTTCAATACCACGACTGAGGTGAGACCCTTGAGCAAGACACCAAACCCCCAACTGCTCCCCGGGCGCCGCAGCAATATGGCTGCCCACTGCTCCGGGTGTGTGTTCACAGTGTGTGTGTGTGTTCACTGCTGTGTGTGTGCACTTGGATGGGTTAAATGCAGAGCACAATTCCGAGTATGGGTCACCATACTTAGCCACATGTCACTTCACTTTCACTAAATTCGTTTATGTCTGGCTGCGCAAATCATTTTACTCCAGACTGCTTTCTGAATGAGGGACAATTCAAGGCAGGTTTTGTTAAAAAGTTAAAACTCAAGGATGGATCAGTACCCATTGTTCATGATCCAGCTGCACCTCCAGAAGAAGTACGTCTCACACTTTATATATTTTTTTGATTATTTGTGAATCGCGTTTGCTTTTCCACAGAAGAGAGGGGCGGGGTGAGCAGAGCTCATTAGCATGTAAAGAGATATGCACCGAAATGAGTCGCTGTGAACAGAGCTGTTTTTGACAAGGTTAAAAGTGTGTTGTTATTCACGACCACTGAGAAGACCCTAAAGAATCATACCAACTTGTGGAAAATGGGCATCCGATGTCCCCTTTGAAGCACAAAAATCCCATACGAAACGAGTCGCTGTGAACAGAGCTGTTTTTGACAAGGTAAAAAGGGTGTTGTTTTACAAGACCACTGAGACCATTTAAAGAATACCCTAAAGAATCATACCAACTTGTGGAAAATGGGCATCCGATGTCCGCTTTGAAGCACAGCCACCACTTTTTGACAAGGTAAAAAGGGTGTTGTTTTACAAGACCACTGAGACCATTTAAAGAATACCCTAAAGAATCATACCAACTCGTGGAAAATGGGCATCCGATGTCCCCTTTGAAGCACAGCCACCACAAAATCAGACTTACTTTAAAATCATTCTGAGGTTAAATACAGATTTAAAATCATAACAAGAAATAGTTTAATAGCTACGATATTGTTTTTGAAATCAAATCTTTGCATAGCTATGACAGGAAACACTGGAATCTAACAATGCCTTAGAAAAAAAAAAACAGTTAATCTTAAAAAAATAAAGCATATACATAAACCCATATAGGAAATATAAGAGTTATCGGATAAGCGTCTTATAAACTTCTGAAACATTGGTGTTTCATATTTTAGAGCAGTCACTGCATTGAAAGAAATCAATTAAATCTTTATGTGGGAGTGTGTGTGAAAATCAGATGTAACCTCCTTTGTAATCCTTAACATTTTCATAAGTAACTTTAATTTAATCACACCTTTTTTCTCAGTAACTGAAACTGATTACAATTACTTTTATTTTGTAATAAAATTACGTAATTCCGTTACATGTAACTAGTTACTCCCCAACACGGCTTATTTGCTTATTAGTCATTCATTTATACTTTTTCCTTTATATTTTGAAATGATAAAATAACAATTATAAAATCACTATTACAAAATATCAAATCATCAAGAAATCAGATTTTGTCAGTTTTGCTCTTTTTTTGTCACAGAGTGCTTTGAAAAACAAACTTTTCTTCAATTTGCAACTAAATCACACATAATCACTGAAGTTGTTGGTCAGTTTCACATAAGATAGAAGAATAATGGTACATTTAATAAGAGTACAATATATGTCTTTTCTACATGAAAAATTAGATTTTGCACATGTTACTGTTGTTAATAAAATACATTTTGTAAGCTTCCCAACTCAAGCTTAGTGCTTTACTGTCAAAAGTGTATAAACATTAAAATAAACAAGAACTGAACATGTAATATTATTAGTAACTGCACTTATTAATGCAAAACGATTACAGTTAAAATGGGGAAAATATGTGAACGATTGCATTGCAGGCTGATTTATGGTATGACCCTAAATTTTCTGCTTGTGCTCCTAAAAATGTTCAGTCAGAGGCTACAGTGCTCGATAATAATAGTTAGTCTCGAGCCCTGTATACAGTGTGTGTGTGTGTGTGTGTGTGTGTGTGTGTGTGTGTGTGTGTGTGTAATGAAGAATTCAGATGCAAAAGCCTCCATCTGACATCTGAAATTTTCTTCTAAAATTAGCATTTTTATCAGGCTCCTGTATTTATGTTCAGTCTTTAATTGCATAGAAAATGACCTATACATTGCCATTAGAGTAAATTTGCTGAACCTAAACATAGGAGCCTGATAAAAATGCTCATTTTAGATGAAACTTTCAGATGCCACTTAGGCTTTTGCATCTGAACTCTTCATATATAATATATGATCTGGCATCATTTACATATCATATCATACATCATACATCCCAGGTTCATGTGAATATAGGTTTCCAAATCATCCCTGAATAATCTTGAGTAAATAGAATGATTCAAAATGCAAAATTTATATTTTTTCCAGGCCATAAAATTCCCAGGTTTGTGAAATTCAGCTTAAATCTTTCCAAAACATGCTTAGTCTACATGTGAAGTATTTTGTAGGATACTTCTTTAATTTTGTTATTCATTCAAACTTTGTTTAGCAATTTCCTTTTTTTAACCAAATCAAGAAGACAAAAAAAATCCGGCTCTAGGAAAGGAAAAGAGAAAACAATTTTAAACAAAGAGCATTTCTTACAACCTCTGAACCAGCGCTCTCTCATTTAGCCCGGTGAGGGTGGAGTGGGCGGGGCCGCGGCGATGACGCCGGAGGATTGGCAGCTGGTTTCGCCGCCGCGCCGCGTCGCGTCTCTCTCGCTGTGTCTGCTCTGCGCAGCGCCTGCGAACGGAGGGAGTCGGTGAAACGCAGCGGCGGTTCCAGCGCATGCGGCTTCGGTAACGATGCACTAAACCTGCCTCTTCATTCATACTCTCACAACCCTAGCAGAAATACCAACCAACAACATCTCCATTGTGATTCATTCTCCCCGGTTTAATCGTTGCTGAATAAGGTTTAATGAAAGAGAAAGACAAGAAGAAGCGCACGGCAACGTTACGACTGTTTTTATTTTCATCCCATTCTGAATGACGGGCGGACGGTTCGACTTCGACGATGGAGGCACTTACTGTGGCGGATGGGAGGACGGGAAAGCCCACGGACACGGCATCTGCACGGGACCCAAGGGTCAAGGCGAGTACGCCGGGTCCTGGTCCCACGGTTTCGAGATAGTCGGGGTCTACACCTGGCCCAGCGGGAATACGTACCAGGGCTACTGGTCGCAGGGCAAACGCCACGGGCTGGGTGTTGAGACCAAGGGGAAGTGGGTTTATCGTGGGGAGTGGAGTCACGGGTTCAAGGGTCGCTATGGAGTTCGGCAGAGCACCAATACACCTGCTAGATACGATGGGACGTGGAGTAATGGACTACAGGATGGCTATGGAGTCGAAACCTATGGGGATGGTGGTAAGTGCCACTGCAAATGCCATTTGTATGATGAGAATCGTAAGCAGCTGAACCATTACGATTTCTCTTGTCGATGTCCCGGCCATAATGATTCTTTTAGTACTTTTGAGAAAGAAATGTTTGAAAATAAGACATTCTTTGATTTACAGAAGACTGTTACTGAATGATCATATAACAAATCAAGGATAGCCTACATTTTATTCTGTTTACAAAGACAAATGTTAGTCCTAACCATATATCATAATTGCAGGCCTAAACATACCAAAATATGGCAATGTATTTCATGAATTAATTAATTAATCCACACATACAGCAAAACTCATATCTTTGACTACAATTTGTCATATGAACAACCAGTCAGTTACGACGCCGATTTAAGCTTCGGAGTCTTAAGTACAACATAACACTGTAAAAGCTGTTGCTTCATTCGAGTCGGACATGACGAAAGTAATAACTTGCGGTTCAGTAAGTGAGTCAGATTAAATTCAGTAACCCCTCCGTCTGATTCATAATCGTTCTTGATTCACTAAAAGAACCGGTTCATAAGAGTCATTCGTTCGGGTGTCGAACACAGATTGATAGAGCTGAATGTTTTTGATTCTTAAAAAGAATCGGATTAAACGAGTCATTCGTTTGAAAATTAGTTTTCTCTTAAATAAATCTCAGAACTTTCTGGACCACTAACATAAACTATTTGTTTATTTATTATTTTCCATTTAAAATACATTAATGGCATTGTTTTTACATGCAATGTTGCCATGCATTATACACACAAGAAATGACAAGAAAAAGACATTTATATTTACACATATAATATAAACATATATATAAAAAATACTGTAATAGACTATGTGTACATATAGGTAGTTTTTAATATATTGGTTATATATTCTCTAAAAAGAGCCTGATCATGAGAGTCATTTACTCAGGAACTGTGAACACTGGTCTCGCTGTATGTTTTTGGTTCACTGATAAGAATCGGCTGGTGAGAATCATTCATTCAGGAATCAGACTGCTCTGATCGATGTATGTTTTGAGCTGTAGATTCAGTAAATGTCTTCCAGCTGAATACTAGGATGACATTTTGAGAATCTTTAACATAATAGAACAACATGAAAAAGAACTGATTCAAGGTTCCTGATTCTGTTTGTTTTTGCCAACTGTCAGGCCACAGGTCATAGCCATTGGGTGTAAATAACACCCAATTTTTTCAAAGTGCACTGAAGAAATGCTGATGGTGACATGAGGGTGAATATTTATATTCTTTGACATAAATGCACAACCTATAGTAATTTACGCATGACATAATTACAGCCAAGATTCTACCACAATTTACTCTATGCATTTCATGGCACTGCAATGTGACATCCAACATTTAACTGACGTTTTGCATTTTCGGAGCCTACATTAGTTTCCGAATTAGTTTTGGGATCCGTGTCATTTGTGTCAGTGATTTTAGATTAGGCTGACTGATGAACACTGTGAACATAAAACACATTTGTCATGCATCACTGAAGGGGCAAGAGATTTTAATTATCCAATTTTCATTACACTCTTAAGGTTCATGAGTTATGAGTTGTTAACAAGCATTAATTGATATTTGATATGCTAATGTGCATGCTTTTTTATCATTAATATTACCACTGAATACGTTTCAAACCAAATTAAGCAAGGTATGGCACTTCATGTGCTGTTTGCTTACTTGATCTACATGAGTTTAATGTTTCTTTTTGTTTCATAAGGCACATATCAAGGCCAGTGGATGGGGGGCATGAGACATGGCTACGGTGTGCGACAGAGTGTGCCTTATGGAATGGCCACCATTATCCGCTCTCCGCTTCGCACCTCCCTGGCCTCCCTAAGAAGTGTGCAAAGCAATGGTGCCGTTCTGCAGGACGCGGTACTCGACACACCAATTGGAAGCCGTGGTGGTTTTGTGCTGAATTTTCACAGCGACACCGAAGTCGTCACCGGGAAGAAGAAGGGCCTGTTCCGCCGTGGGTCCCTCTTCGGCAGCCTCCGCCAGCTACGTAAATCCGACTCCAAAACATCCATCTCTAGCAAACGGAGCTCGGCACGTAGCGACGCCACTATGAGCCGCATCAGCTCCAGCGACGCCAACTCCACCATCAGCTACGGAGACGGAGAGTACACCCCCATGGAGGACCATGTGGACGCCACCACCACAGAGTCCTACATGGGCGAGTGGAAGAATGACAAACGCAATGGGTTTGGAGTCAGTGAGCGATCAAGCGGGCTGAAGTACGAAGGGGAATGGATGAACAACAAGAGGCATGGATACGGATGCACAATATTCCCAGATGGAACCAAAGAGGAGGGGAAGTATAAAAATAACGTGTTGGTGCGTGGGATAAGGAAGCAGCTTATTCCGCTAAAAAACCATAAAACTAAAGAAAAAGTGGACAGGGCCGTGGAGGGGGCTCGAAGGGCTGCAGCTATCGCCAGGACTAAAGTGGAAATAGCAGTGTCAAGGTAGGGCACCTCATTTGTTGAAAATCCTTTTGTAAAGCCAAAAATGGAAATTCTGGCATCATTTACAAATTCTGATGTGGTTCCAAACTCATGTGGCTAATGTGATAGCCACTCTTTTTCATATAAAGAAAGTGAATGGGGATCTGAGCTGTTGAGCTGCAGAATGACAAAGTAGCAGCTATATTCCAAATCTTCTGAAGCCATACAATGGTTTTGTGTGAGAAAGACCTATGGCGTATGGGGCATTTATTTAGATGTCATTCATATTTCTGGACCTATTTTAAGATGTTGCTTCACACACCAACAATGTTCAGCAAAGCTCGGGTGTTTTTAACAGATATCCTTTGTTCGAGCTTCTCAAATGGTTAGAAAGTCTTGAGTTTTGAAAGGTTGTGCAAGCAGCCTTTTTGAGGATTGGTGTCTATTATTTGTCCATTGCTCAGATGCACAGGGAGCAGTCATAGGGTCATGCATCTCATGTACACTATTATGATGTCTGTTCCCTTGCCAAGAGCCATACTAGACAGACATTTTAATGGATGTGTTGTGTAAGCCACTTATTCAAGGCACACAAATTCATAACATCCTAGACAGGTCTTGGAAAACTCACATGCTCATGTTCCTTCCATTGACCAACCAAACAGATACTTTGTCGAACATCTAGACAATATTCAAGTATAAGTTGTGTGAATGTATACACACACTTTATGAACATACTGCATGAATTAGAGAGGTTACTTGCAATGAAGGATTATCCAAGTCAGTGATTCTTATACAAACAAACATTTGAATATATTGAAAGCTGTCCTTAAACAAGCTGTCCTTGAACCCACTGGATGAGCAGAACCCTTGGTTCACAAATTAGTGGGCTTGCAAAACCTCTTAATGGGCTTTAATTAGTCATTTTTAAAATTTGTTTTTCAGTTAAACACTACAAATAAGAGGATCCATGAGAAACAACACTGAATAAGATATTAAGACTTGTATTTGAATGTAGGTGTATTTTGTGTTACTGCAATGGCACATTTCTTTTTTTCAACTTGTTTTTAACTGGTTTAGATTTTTTTTTAAAAAGGGGGAACTCTGCCAGAGCAGTAAGACTAAATATATTATGCAGTTTTCCTTAGTACATTAATTTAAATATTTTTGGATGTTTTCACTGGAAAATTAGACAAAAATACTGCAGTTTTACAAAGTATGTCCTGCTCAAGTGATCAGATACAGTGAAATTAATGGATTTTCATGTATACTACCATTCAAGAGTTCAGGGTCAGCAAGTTTTTTTTTATTTTTTACTTTTGTTCAGCAAGGATGGATTAATTTGATCAAAGGTTAACATGAAGACTGTTGTAGAAGATTTCTATTTCAAATAAGTGCTGATCTTTTGAAGTTTCCTAAAAAACAAAGAAGAATCCTGGAAAGAAAGTGTATAAAAGTTTCCTCAAAAATATTGAGCAAAACATTTATAATAAGATGAAATGTTTCGTGATCACCAAATCAGCATATTAGAATGATTTCTGAATGATCATGTGACTCCGAAGACTGCTGAAAATTCACCTTTGCCATCACATGAATAAATTACATTTTAAAATATATGAAAATATTTATTTTAAATAGTAATATTTCACAATTTTAACATTTTTACTATGATATATTTATCAAACAAATAGAGCCGTAGTTGGCAAAAGAGACATCTTTTCTAAAGACATTAAAAATCTTAGTGACCCCAAACTTTTGAATGGTATAATGCAAATAAGTTCCATCTTTTCAGTCAGAATGTGACATTTTAATGACACTTCTTTCAAGTTGGGACTGAACCTGTATGTAACCCTTTAACATTTCAGCCCTAATATATTAATTTTATGGGTCCAAGACCACCAATAGGACTAATTGACTGTTGGTGTGTATATATGTGCACGTCTGCCTCATGTATGTGTTTCGGCTGTCTGATGACCCTGATCTCATGTTAGTGATCAGCCAATCAATAAATAAATAACATGACTCAGAATGTAGGCAACACTTGTTATGCTGCTAGTATTCAGAGGGGTCATACAGGTTAACAGTTGGTTTGAGTGCCACTTTCAGGCTATTTACAGTTTCTGTATTTATCTTAACATCGAATAAGCCACATAGCACGTACTGGGCACTAATAGCCGAGTATCTGGCATTTGTCCCTCTTAGGAGTGGCCTGTCTTCTGTGGTTACCTCTCCCTCAGTGAGCAATGGGTCAGGGTTACAAGACTTACGCTCCAGGGTCATTACCAGTGCTATGAAATTAAAGTAAAGCCATTTTACTATGCATTACTTGCATTCAGTTACAGCTGAGCAAGAGTCTTGGCTGGCTAGCAGTACTTTAAAGATTGATATAGTAATACTCCTCACTATCTCCAATTCACCCTAGAGTATATTCCCTTCAAAGGGTCGTAAATATAATGCCACAGCCCCCCTCCCCTTTTCTTCAGGGGCAGGGCGCTTGCTGCGGTCAACAGAATCTGCTGTTTTAGGAGGTAGTGTGAAAGGTTAACTGGCGTTCTTGGCCTCACTGTGAAAGGAAACGTGATAGATCCAGTGTCAGGACAACTACAGAATATAACAGGTTCACTTCAGGTGTTAGCAAAGAAAGTCATCGATGAGAGTGAGCTTTAACTTAGTTTGGACCTACTATTAGGTTAAATCTCGTTTTAATGGACAAATGAATAGCATTTCCTTGTTATAATTTCTTAAAGGGATAGTTCACCTAAAAATGAAAATTCTGTCATTAATTACTCACCCTCATGTCGTTCCAAACCCATAAGGCCTTCGTTCATCTTTGGAACACAAATTAAGATCTTTTTGATGAAATCCGAGAGCTTTCTGACCCCACCGACAGCAATGCAACTAACATGTTCAAGGCCCAGAAAGGTAGTAAGGACATCGTTAAAATAGTCCATGTGACATCAGTGGTTCCACCGTAATTTTATGAAGCTACGAGAACACTTTTTGTGTGCAAAGAAAACAAAAATAATGACTTTATTCAACAATTTCTTCTTTTCCGTGTCAGTCTTCGATGGCTGTTCACAAAAGTACCACTCTCAAAAATCATAAAAATGCTCAAATAAGTTTAATTTTCTTTAAGAAGTATAACATTTCTTGTTTTTGTTTTTTTGTTTTTTGACAAAATATGACCTTAGCAACGATTTGAAAAATGTGAGGGTCTCTTTAAGGCATGAATATTTATTAACTCTCAAAAAGTTGGGTGGCACGAACATATTCATATAAATTTCTAAATGTGGCAGAATCATAAACAAACCCCTCCTCCCCCATTTATAATGACAGCTTTGCCCCGGTTATGCTAGTGATTATGAATGAGAGACAGAGAGGTAAAAGAGCCCTTCAATTTTTCCTCCCACCTTTTCTCACCCTCTTCATACTCAGCTCCATTTGATATTAGTCATTCACCATAAAAAGGTGGGAGTAGAGGAGCATTTAATTGTTCAGTCAACCTACAGCCTGTGCTCTCTCTGTCTCTCTTATGCTCACTGGTGTGTCAGCAGCACAGAACTCGGGCTGACTAAATAAGACAAGGATGGAGTCAACTTATCAGCTCTGGACAGAAATACATAAGCCAGCAGCAGTTGATACAGTAGCCCATCACTGCCTGGCTGTCAACTGCCCTACGTGCCAATAGACTTCACAAATGTTTATCGTCAGTCGCAACAATGACTTCATCTGCATTTGTCTCTTACCCACATGCAAGCACACAGATATAAACTCAGTGACACACACACACACACACACACACTTTCCATCCTTAACTAAATTAGTTAAGGATGGAAAGAGCAAAGGATAACAGTAATAATGATTATAATAATGACATGTATAATGTACAGATCATTTTGTTGAACATGCATAGATAGATAGATAGATAGATAGATACTAACATTTTTAAGTACTTAGCAAATTATGTTTACTGGTGAAAATAAATGTGCTCAACAATTAAGATCACAAAACAACATTGCATGAATATAATGTCATAAAACGATTTTCATTTTTATTATTGCTAAAACATGTATAGTATATTATTATCATGTATAGTATATTATTACATATAGTATATTTTTTGTTTGTTGTTTTTTATTGTTTTATAATTGTCAAAAATCAAATATAAATTAATTTTAAAATAAATTCTTAAAGGGGTCATATGATGTTGCTAAAAAGAACATTATGTTGTGTATTTGGTGTAATGCAATGTGTTTATGTGGTTTAAGGTAAAAAAAAAACATTATTTTCCACGTAATGTATGCATTTGTTGCATCCAGTGGGGACATAATTACTGATTATTATGACTTATACTGTGTTTTTAGGCGTTGCATTGCATATCGCGCCGTGTAAACATAAAACCACGTCTGCATGTGTGATCGGAGAAACGACAAACAAGCGATACTCCACTGCTCAAAACTCGCATTTGAATCATCAGTGGCAAATTCTTTAAATATAAAAAATGTACTTACAGGCTGAGTCAGAAGCGCCAGACTGTCCTTGCAAAGTTGGAACTGCCCCACTTTATAGAACAGCCTTTGAGCACAGGCCCATTGTAGGCTATGCAGAACTGCAGGTTCAGGAAACAGTCCTCCATAAAATGCGTCACACACTAGAGTGAGTGAGAGTGAGCAGCAGCGGGCAGTCTTGAGAACGGCGCGGCCAGCAGGCTTGCGGCAACCACATGTGACGACCTCGGGCTGGACTCCTGGAAGGCCAAACAAAGTAGTTTCGCTTTCACACCGAAACACACAGCATCTCCACAACATGGCAATTTTGCCAACAACAGTACTACAGCGAGAATAAAAGTTACGCCTTCTTTCTTTGTGTGAATATTTGGGCGGTGTTATGCAAAATTTCCCACACAGTGACATAGACATGTGGGGGCGTGTTTAAACGAGGCGTTTTCGTAGGACGTGGACAAGTCTTAACTTTTATAAAGAATATCTCTTTGGATTTGAGACTTTAGTCTTTGCAACTTT